ACGGCTCGAGTTAGAACGTGCGTAGGGGCAGGGCGATCCTCGCATTGTCTTTAGCCCACGTGCGACCGGTGGTGATTGCGCGACAGCGACGCGTCGACACTGCGTACCGGCGTGCTAATAACAATAATACTGTGTCCGCTGTACGTTTTAATGGCGCTTTGCTTCCGCGCGACCACCACCAGTGACGCTCGAGCTGAGGATACCGCGAGTACACCCACCCCTACGCGGATTCGGACCGAAGACCTTATGGTTGCAAACCAGGTGCACAGACCACGGCCACCGGGCGACAACCGGCGTACTACTGATGCCTTTTTTCTTTGACTGGTTCTCGCAATTTAGCCACTTGGACGCTACCTCAGCGCTACTTATTGTCGACCTCTGAACGTGAACAATTGAGGTTTATGTGTTTGATCAATGCGTTGTAAACAGCATTGTAGATCTTGGATGTAACCCTTGTTTGGATCAATTTGGGATCTATTCCTACTCGTTAGCTTGACGATAGCGTTTGGTAGTAGTAACGTGCCTTTAGAGTCGTGATTGACATTTTTCATCCCTATGTTTGAAATGTCACAGGACGTTCTATGTATGACACTTTTTAAGTTGACGTGGTCTTGAAATTACTCAGTCATCCTGCTGTGATGATAGGCTGGTCTTGCTGAGAGCTGAATAAGTTAAAGCTGGTTTCTAATCTAGCATAGGATCCCCTGGTAATGAAGTTGAGAAATTTAGCTGTTTCGGCAGCTAGATTGGCACACGTATATTCCGATTGGTTCCAATAGTGTGAAGCCAGAAATGCCTTTATGGACTGATAAGTTTTCTGATTCTAGAAAAGGTAGTATCTTTTGATCTTTAAGTTCATATGCAAAGGAGGAATGCAATGTCTTCTCGCTTCTTTGATAGGACCCTAGCACCTTCGAGCCGAGGGTCTTAGGCTCAACCAGATCTTAACGCTTGTCACTGTTGTCGGTTTGTGATAGATTGCCCAGTGGCGGAGCTTAGAAATGAGCACTACGTTGTGTTGATCGTACGAGTTCATTAGGTCAACAAATAGTGGATGTGCTCATCTTGCTGCTTAAAGCTTGTTTTGAACACAGGTCTTAAACTAACCCGGATCAGAAGGCCTGCCGTGATACCATCCGTTGCATAATCACCTGCGCTCGTGGGGTACGTCGATGCCAAATTCCACAACTAAACTGAACTTCTGCATAAACCTCACCTGTTGAAACGAAACAGTACGCGTACATCCGCCTTGGCAGAGACGCCACTGACGCCAGCTACACTGCGTAGAGCGCATAAACTCAGACGACGTACATTATGTTCTTCCTTGATTAGACGATCATAGTGATTCAACCAATTCTATTTGATTATGGTATTACTTGTGCTTTGGGTTCACTCAGGGGTCTCTTATTTTCCAAAATTTCCCCGCCAAGACCTCAAGAACCGCTGTCCTTCTAGCTTACCTCAGCAACTGGGATTCGCTATGCTCGCCTTAAATCTCCTTTCTCTCCCACTTTCTTTCGATGTGTACGTGAATGACTACCCTCTCGCTGTTTGCCTGGTTGGGATCAAAGGACGAAGCTTCCTGATGTCTCGAAACATTTGTGGATGTGGCACACAATCGAAACAAGTGGATGACATTTGTGCACACATGGAGGGTCAAGTTTGGACTACACGTTGTGTGGTTGGATTGCGACGCGCAATCTCAATGTAATGGACTGTGGTTCACATTGAAGTGAACCTTAGTCACGGCAATCACTGGGACCGTACTCAAAGCAGATGGAAATTGGGTGTTGCCCACCCGAAAACACTGCACAACCACGACGCGTTTCGATGTGATTTCATCTCATCAGGTGGAGACAGCAGGCCTCGATCCCGCGACCATTGGAATAGTAGCCGAAACCTCTACCCCTTTGGCTACCGGGTCACGATGGGCAACGCTTGGCACAACGGTAATGACTAAGTGGAGGGTCAAGTTTGGACTACACGTTGTGTGATTGGATTGCGACGCGCAATCTCAATGTAATGGACTGTGGTTCACATTGAAGTGAACCTTAGTCACGGCGATCACTGGGACCGTACTCACCGCTTGTCAGGCCTTTCGGCTCCATTCTGTCCAAGCTTAGACTGACTTCGCTTACAAATTGTCTTCAAAAGGTCCTGCTGAATGCCTTGCATTACTCGAAATTGGTTCACAAACAGACCAATACACGAAATATGAAACTTTACGCTACATAAACTGCATGTTATCGCATTTGCGCGATGTCTAACGACTTTGGAGCAAATACCACACGGTGCCTGCTTTGTCAGTTCAAAAATAGTCACCGATAGATATCACTAAATCAGCTTAATGTCGTATCACAGAACATACAATAAATTGGTACAGGTAGATATGATGAAGTAATTCCAAATCACTAATGTCAGTCAATTACACAAATATTTATGGGATAAAACGCCGCTAACAATGAAAAGAACGAGGTGCACAGGCTCGACAAGGACACGAGAAAACACAACCAGACGGCGCTATCCGCAGTCGGCCATGCTCAGAATCATGTGCCTTGTTTTAAGATGACCTTAAGGTATGGAGGGTAATTGAGGCGTCCGACGACTGCGACCTGCTTTAGCTTGATCTTGACCGCCACTCCGTGTGGTCAGCAAAGCTCAGCCTTCCGATCAATCCAGTCAAGACGGTATTCATGAGCCTGGACAAGGGTGGTAATAGCTGAGTCTACCATCGGGCCGCCCAACAGTTACACCCATCGCAATCTGTGTAAGATCTCGGGGTACTCTCACGCTGCAATTTGGAATCCGTTGAAAACACGATCAGGCTTTACCAAAACGGGCTGCGTATGCTCTGGATGCTCAAACGCAGCTTTTGCACTTGATCCGAAGAGATAGCCACTCACCTCCTTTCTACTATTACCAGACCAATACTAGAGTACAGTTCATCCGCCTACTGTCCGCTGACTCGGGGCGAGGTGCAGAGGATTGAGCGGGTACACCATGTCGCCATAAGGCTGACCCCCGGTTTACGAGGTGTCTTATCGTCGAATGCGAGATGAACTAACCATGACACACCGGTTATTACATCCGGTCGCATACCCTATGTTGAAGCCGCTACTTCGTCTGCGCACACCAAGCAGCACACGAGGACACCGGTACAAGCTTGTCTTACCAGATTTGAAGCGGATCGCTCATCAACTCTGCTTCGAGCAGAGGGTATTGAATATTTGGAACAACCTGCCTTCAGACCTAGTCGATGCAATGTCGGTGCCGGAGTTAAAGCAACGCCTGGACTCGCACTTTGCCAATTTGAGATTTCGGTTTTACGGTTTTACAAAAGCAACAATAACAGCAGTACATCAGCCATTTGAACTGATGCTTCGCTGCCATACAACCATGATGACCTGTGAAATAAAGAATAATAAGAGGGAGAGAAGGGGGACTTACAGGAAAACCTTAATGCCCTAAGCAAACATTCAGGTTCAAGGCGCCCACACCTTGTATTAACAACATACCGTCACAAACAGCTGGCTATCGTGCAAAGATAAGGCGGCGTCGGCGAGACAGCTTCCTTGCGGCTTTCACCACCCACGTCATAATCAGCCATTACCCCGCAGATAACTCAGCACCAAACACACCTTAAACAGGCAATCCGACTAGGAGACGGCAGCAGACGCGCCACTGGTGTCGGTTGCGAGCCATTTCCTGTAAAGTCTCGAGTCAAGCACAAGGTGAGTCACGTGGACTCCAACCCGGAAGGCGAGACGGACCAACGGCACCCAATTTGGTCGTCAGTGACTTCATTTCCTGCTGCCAAGTCAACTTCTGTCCACCTCGAGCCATGCGCCACGCTACACCTGGCAGACTCAACAAGGCCCTTCTAGGTAAGCGGTGACCAGGCATACAAAGCACGATTTTACGGTAGCCTACAAACCAACTGTCACATTGAGGAGAACTCTGTCGAACCCCAAAGGTAGACCCGGAATACATGAAAGACGAAATGTTGTTTACAGGATACGATGTCAAGATTGTGCTAACAGCTATGTGGGTCAGACAGGAAGACGACTGTCAACAAGAATACAAGAGCATAAGAGGGCTTGTAAGTACCACCACACTCTCTCACTGGTTTTAATACATATGGACGGAGAAGGACATCGCTTCGATTGGAAAAACACAGAGGTCCTAGCAAAAGAAGAGACACGGGAAGGGAGAGAGTTCCTTGTACCATGGTACTCGACGCAGCATTCCATTAACACACACATACAGATTGATCCAGTGTACCAAACGTTAAGATGGAGGGAACTAAAACACCTTTTGAAAAACCATGTGGTCAGCTAAACCAGCCATCAACAACACATCAGCAACAGCCGGGGCAAAACTGTCCCACGGATCGCGGGTCTCTATCAGAGTTTGGCAGACCGTTGAAGGTCACGGGGTACAGATCGAGGAGGTCTGTTCAGAACTCACTTGCTGATCGATTACAAATCGACGAACAAGTCAGCGGAGTACATTTGACCCAGCAACGCACTGACGAAGTCACCTCGTTTGGTGAAGAAACGTTTGTATCCCAATTACGAAGCTCGCCGAACGGATGAACTGAAAAAGGATGAACCCGAGCTACCAATGCATCAAGTCATTTTGTCTTCATCCTTGTATCTCTGATTTCAGTTGTATGCTTTGTCGAGGCTTTTATCTTCGATTTCAGAGATGGCTGGACAGTGGTTCCATAAGCTCTATCGTTTAAACACACTGTCTTCGGAGACACAACTTTTCTGTTGCCTTAGCTTTCTCTACCTATTTATTGGGATCACAATTTATTTGCACCTTTTTGGGACCGACCTTGTTTACAAACAGCCTCCTGATTTTTTTAGTTTTTCCTTTATACTTTGTTGTTCATGAGATTCAATTACAGGCTACCTTGTTTAGCACTTCTTTCTCGACTACATGATGCAAGTCCCAATTAAATTCCTTCCATTTCTGTTCATTTTCTTCCACTTCAGGTGTCCCTATTTACAATCCCGGGTTGCACTTCTTGTGGATTTACGATTTTCCCTTGTTCAGGCGCAATGAATGCGGTAAGGAGTTGTTTTGTCTATTCCGTTATTTTTTCCAGCCAATATTTTTCTGGCGTGTGAAGTTTTCACTAGATTTAGTTGGTGCTGTCCCCGCTCTTTTTATTACCTGTTATATTTCTCAAGTTTATGCACACTTGGAACTGTGACCCGACTCTTCATACCCTTCTTTTGCCTCCCGTCCATATTCTATTGAGCCCTGGGCACACCGCTCTAAATTATCCATTTCACTATATCCACCTGACAGATACACGACGGTAATGCTCACATCAGTCCTGTGTAAATGGAGGATGTGAGATGGTAACTTTATTGTTGCGTTCTCTTATCAATGATCTACTAAATCAGCTTGTTCTTCTGATTGTGCTGGCAACTAATGTGTGTGTGACCGATACATCTTGCCGCTTGGGCAACGAACTGTCACGCTTCATGTGTCATGCCTAACGGTTATTGCCGTAGTGTCGGGCTGGTTCTGTTTCCAGAATGTCTCCATCATTATTCCGTGGTGGTTCTAACAGTTTAACTTTGTCCCTCCCTCGTGATCCATGCACTGTTGGCGGTTTTCTCTGATTCATACCACTGCACCTTTGTCTTATATGTAAGCATAACCCATCATCCGATAAAACCTCTACGCATATGGACTGTTTGTGTGTCTTACCAAAAGGCTTTGGCCTTAAGCGGTCATTTATTAATCAGGCAGTGTCCTTGTAATCCATAGCATACCACAATCATCCCAGAACAATAACAGAGAAAGGGTCATATTTCTCCCGCACTTATGTTCTCTGGTAGTTTTTATATACTTTGTAGGTTCGTCGTATTCAGGATATTCCGTTAGCCTTAATCCACTACTTCGCAATGTGAAAATCATATATGTTAAGCTGTAAACTCGCAGTGACCAAGAGAGAAGTCGAAAACAGTGAATAGAAAACCATCATTATTCACCATTTCCTTTAGTCGCAAGCTTTCTCTTCTGACCAACCTAAGGCACATGACCGCGAGCACTGGCGCTACATTCGTGAGGCGCTTCGTCAAATAAAACGCCGTTCTACATTCTTGAGAAGGATTCTCGTGTCACCTAATTACAAAGTATTTGGTCCTAGATTGCTAAACTTGGTGGTACAGTCAGCGTAGGGTAGAGTCCCCTCTTCAACTACTGGAAGGCGAACTTTAATGGCCTCACTCGAGCTGCGAGCCTAATGGACTAGTCGCTAGCACAGGGTTCATTAGTTGAATCCTGTTGGTCTATCATAAAAAAAGGAGTAAAATCATGGTGCGCTCTATTTGTGCCCCTCAAATATCCGAAAGCTGAACCAGTCAAGCCACACTGGTTTGACTAGGAGTATGGCATACTGGCTCGATGGCTACGCCGGCTATGGAATAAATTCGTGCAATCTGGCTCTGTCGAAGGTTACAAAACGTACAAGAACCAACGAAATGCGCGAAAACGGGCAAACGCCGAAGCTTCGAAGAGCAGCTTACAACCGCAGCATAAACAGCTCCCAAGAGGATCTTTGCATTCGTGAACCGACGCCTGAAGCTGGCAGGTGATGTGCCTGCGTTGGCGAGCAGCCCTGACTTTCCAGCACTGAGCGTGCTTCCTCATTGGCGACGCACTTCGCTTCCGTTTTTGCAGATAACCAGGCATCCGTATTGAGTTCGACGAATATCGCCTCTACCGAACTGGATGGCAGCGTTGGAGATGCGCGCAGATTACTCGCCAGTCTTGACGGTACCAAGCCTGTCAGGCCTGGTGGGCTCCATCCACTGATCCTCAAATCATTATCGACTATCTTGTCTTCGGTGACTTAGCTATTCAACTGGTCACTGAATGCTGGTTCATTACCAAGCGACTGAAAACGCTCAGTGGTAAACCGATTCCGAAAGGCGACGATGCGAGCAAGGCGGACAATTACCGGCTGATATGCCTCACCACTGTTTTGGCTACGACACTCGGGAAGGTCGTGAAGCGTGGTCTTCTGCAGCACCTCGAGCCGAAAAGCATCTTGACGCCCGCACAGCACGGTTTCATGAAAAGTCGGTCATACATCACAAACCTGCTGCTCTCAAGACACGAATGGTTGCAAGCGGTAAATCAAGGGAAGTCGGTTAATGTCATTTACATCGAGTTCAGCAAAGTGTTTGACTAGGTGAACCATGAGATCCTCCTTCGGAATCTGCAGATGTGCGGAGTTGGTGGCTGACTGCACCAGTGGATCAGTGACTTCCTTAATGGTAGGCAGTGGAAAGTGCAGGTGGACAACCATTTGACTGAGTGGTATCCTTCGACCAGTGGAGTCCCGCAAGGCACAGTGATTAGGCCCATTTTGTTCCTGATCCACATCAACGATTGGCGTCTGATTTTCAGTTAATATTGCGCGTTGTTTGCAAATTACCTTAAGGTATGGAGGGTAAATGAGGCGCCCGACGACTACGATCGGCTTTAGCGTGATCTTGACCGTCACTCCGTGTGGTCAACAAAGGTCAGCCTTCCGATCATTCCGGTCAAGTCGGTATTCATTAGCCTGGACAAGGGTGTTAATAGCCGAGTCTACCATCGGGCCGCCCAGCAGTTACACCCCTCGCCATTCCTGTAAGATCTCGAGGTACTCTCACGCTGCGATTTGGAATCCGTTGAAAACACGAACAGAATTTACCAAAACGGACTGCGTATGCTCTGGATCCTCAAACGCAGTTTTTGCGCTTGGTCCGAAGAGGTTGCCACTCGCCTCTTCTCTTCTATTATCCAGGCAATGCTACAGTACAGCTCACTCGTTTCCTGGTGCAGAGGATTGAGCGGGTACTGCGGGTCTCCACAAGGCTCATCCTCGGTTTACGAGGGTGGCATATGAAGACCGGTGTAACAGACTAGGGTTGTACACTCTGTCATATCGTCGAATGAGGGTTGACCTCATTAATACGCACCGGTTATTACATCTGGTCGAATACCCTGTGTTGAAGCCGCTGTTTCGTTGCGCACACCAAGCAGCACACGAGGACACCGGTACAAGCTTGTCGTACCAAATTTGAAGCGGGTCGGTCACCAACTCTGCTTCGAGCGGAGAGTGATGAACATTTGGAACAACCTGTCTGCAGATATAGTCGAAGCAAAGTCAGTGCCGGAGTTAAAGAAACGCCTGGGCTCACACTTTGCCGATTTGAGATTTCGAGATGACTAGCCGTCATAATGGGTAGATTTGCATGAAAACTGTTAGATATAGCTACACAGAGGCATCTCTACTCGCTGCATTTTGTCAATGTTCAGTATTCTTGAAATAGGCTGCCAACATAAATTTGGTTGAAAGGAGTGTTTACACGACGACAGTGTATTGGTCACCTATCGGGTACGGCAACATGAGTGAAAATACTGTTGTGGGTTCCAGCGTGGCGACTATTCTTACACCCGTCATAGAATTCCGGGGGATCACCGAAGGATGCAGGTGACATTCAGAGTCATCCCTATAGTGATCCATTCCTTTGAGAGCTGGTCCCTTTGTTTGGCCCAACAAGCTAGCGCGAAACGCCTCCATGTTTCAGATAAGCTTTCTTGCTCGTCCCGTTGAAGCTCACCAGCACGGAGTCCCGCAGTTGCCAGTAGTCCAGCTACAGCTGATACGAATATCTCACCTGTGTTGTATTCTACAGCCAAATATGTCCCAGTGTGTGAAGGCTTGTGTCCTGAAGTCACTTGGATAGTACAAGGAAAGAAATTTCTGAAAAAAGTAAAGGATTCAGCAGCTGCAAATCAACGACAGGCTAGATCACATGAAGCGCGAGAAAATCCTCGTCCGGCAAGATCATCTTTGGCTGACCAGTGCCGTTTTAACCACCCGATCTTCCACGCGCCTAGGTCCAGTGATCCAACTTCGCAGGTACGATACCATCATAACGTCGACTTTTACGGAGCGTGATTGGCAGATGTGGGGGAGGTCGGGTTGAAAAAGAAGCAAATTACTTATCTTGGAAAGAAAGATGATCAAAAATGTTGACCAATGAGAATTACCTTTGTTGATGAATTCAGTCCGAGACTTATCTTGTCCCGATTAAATAGGTTGAAAGGTCTAAAGCTCCACATTCGTCCAGACTTAGATCCGGTGAATCGAGAACGACTCAAGTATGTCATCATTGAACTGAAGAGACGTAATGGTGATGGGGAAACGGATCTCTGGATAGAAAATTTTCGGGACGTTTCCAAGATTCCACGAATCAGGATAAACAGGTTGCTCATACTTCAAGCACGCCCGATGGTTTCTGCTGTGGCCCGCGTGTAACCTTTACCAACATTTGTAGTATTATAAACAACCGCAATGAACTCTCGTTTCTTGCATCTTAGCGGCCAGACATAATAGGACTCGCAGTGACATGGCTGAATTCTGAGTTGATAGCCTAGGAAATCGAACTCAGTAGCTACTCATTTTCCGCTGCGATAGAGTATCGACTGGCCGCGGTGGTGTTTTGCTCTACATCCTGTCCCCCCTGTGTCGGAGATTTGTGATCGTCTACAGAAGCGATGATTGTTTGTGTGAGCAGCTGTGGTGCTCGATCCACCTCAAACGTGGGGTGCATTTTGTCGCAGTTCCCTGAGCCGTTGTTTGGATTGGCTGTCGCATCTTCGAAGCCACATGAGTCGTCCCCGTTTTCGTCTCATGGGTGATCTCAATTATCCTTGGCTACGCTGGCCTGTAGTTGAACTTATGCAGGGACGTTGCGAGGTCGAAACAAAGTTCGTGGACAGTACTTTAAAGTGGAGCTGCGCAACACATATACTAGCCGACTCGAATAACGCCGCGCTCAACTCCATCGTACCTGGACTTTGTGTTAACATGCTATGAACAACATGTGTGTGACGTTCAAGTTCTAGTGCCCCTAGCATCAAGCGATCACTCAGTGCTTATAGCCAGTATGAATATATCTTGACCGTATTCCCGACCGCTGGAGCCAACTTGCAACTACTGGAAAGCTAACTTCGACGGTCTAACTCAAGCCGCGAGGCAGGCACATTGGTCCCT